CCGCTCCGCTCCCTGCGCCGCGCCGGGGCCGGGGTGAGCGGCGGGGACGGACCCGCGGCAGCAGTGGGGACAGAACCGCAGCCCCCCCGCACCGGCAGGCACAGGCGGGCCCGGGGGAGGCGGCACCGAGCTCCCCAAAGCCCCGCTGGCGCTGCWTCCCCGCCTCTCCAGCTCGGGGAGCAGCGGTGATGGGAGCGCCTGGAGCAGCAGAGGGTGGTCCAGAGAATCACAGGAGGGTTTGAGCGGGAAGGGAGCTGCACGATTATCTCATTCCTCTCCCTGCCATGGGCAGAGACACCTTCCAGTAGACCGGGTTGCTCCAAGCCCTGACTAGCATGGCCTTGCATACTCCCGGGGATGGGGCAGCCACAGCTSCTCTGGGGAAGCTGTGCCAGGGCCTCAGTACCCTCACGGGGAAGAACTTCTTCCTAATATCCAATCTGAACGTACTTTCTTTCAATTTGAACCTATTCCACCTTGTTCCGTCACTTGCTCTTGTATACGGGTGGGTCTTGCCCCATCTTTCCTGTAAGTTCCCTCCAGGTACTGGAAGGCCACAATTAGATGACACCAAGACTTCCCATCTCCAGGCGAAACAATTCCCAATTCTCTCAGCCTTTCCTCACAGCAGAGCTGCTCCATCYCTCTGATYGYGGTGTCTGCTCTGTATTGGCTCCAAGAGCTGTGCTGGGACCCAGGGCAGGATGCAGTGTTCCAGGTGGGGTCTCCCCAGAGCAGAGGCTCTGTGCTGGCTGTGCACCAATAAAACTCCCAATCCAACCCAAAGCCTACTCAGCATCAACATTTAAGTTCTGCAGGCTGCCTCCTGCCCTGCTTGCACTTTTGCATCACTTTCCTGAGCCAGCTTAGTGGGGCCAGAGGACCCTTTATGTTTGCTCCAAAGCACAGGATCTAAGGCAAGGCATCTTCCAYATTCCCATAATCAGCACTACTTCTTTATCTGTTTACTGCCAACTGCTACCACAAATACAGTAGTGATGGAGGAGAGTGTTGGGTGTCTGAGCATAAAAGGGAAGGTTTTGAAGTACTTATAGGGATGTGAGGATGAGAAAACTCACAGCACACATTCTCCGAGGCAGACACGCCTGAGAGGCCTCCATGCCACTGGAAATGCAGGTGGAAGAGATCAAAATCCAGCCAGGCAGGGGACAAAAGCACTACGAAAATACAGTCTGGTATTTCTGACTTATGCACGGTACTTGTTTCACAATGTATACAATATGTATACAATAATTTAATGTTTTAATAACCATCCCCTACGCCAGGTGCTTTAAAGAATGAGCCAGCCAGCCACAAGTGTGCAAGTTTGACACCTGACAGCTTCCCAGTTCCACCTGCCTGTTAGTCTTTCAACATTTTCTTTTCCAAACCCCAGAGCAATGTTTTTATAACCCTCTGCGTTGTGACGACAGCCTGGCCTGTGAGCCTTTGCCCTGCTAAGCACACTCCCAGTGGGAATGGAAGTGGATTTGTCCTCAGGGGAAATGCCAGCAGTTGGCTGCAGCAGTACCATGCAACCTGGACAAGTGTGTTTTGTCATGGTTTTGTCYTTAAACTGGATGTGTACAGAAAGAGGAAGGTCCAAAACCCACAATCTGTGGTTTCCTGTGGCTTCAAAGTATGTTCTCTCTCAGCTTGGCTGTCTTTTTTCCCTTACTTGTAATTTTTGTTCTCCACTCATGGCTAATGTGAATTGTGTGCGTGAATCTTGGCCCTTCTGAGGAAGAGTTGTTTTTTCACCAACAAGCTGGGATCTTCCTCCTTGAATTTTCTTTTTTTGTAAACATCAGAGGACGCTGAACTATTTGATTAAACAAGAGTGACAAAATACTAGCCTAAGRCAAAAGTGGGGTTGGTTAAGATGCTTTACCCCTCTACAGTTATGAACTGTGGATTGAAATGAAGGAAGAAGTGTAGCTGGTTCAAGCCAATAGGCCTCAAGCCTTCCAGTAGAAAAGGAGAAGAGATTGTGCTCAGGGAGGAAGGGCATGAGCTGAGGCAAAAAAGGACCTCCATGGGAGCACAAAGCCTGGCCAGCCCCTTTGGCACAGCAGAGAGTRTCACCAGCCTGTGTCTTTTGGAAAGGTCTTTTTAGCTTTTAAAAAAACTGCCAAAGTTTGAGGGGGGGAGAAGAGCAGAGGAAGAAAGTCTGTTTTGCAAGGCAGGAATCACAAGAGCAGAACTTACCTTGCACAAGATATGAGGGTATTCACTCTTTGCAGCACTCAAGCCTTTCATTAAACTAATTCCTTAAAAATCCAGTGCTCTCTAGACCTATCAAACTTCTCATTGCTTCTCCTTATGCAATAGGAACTCCAGGACTGAACAATGTTCCCGCAGTATTTTTGACAACTGTTTTTTTGCAGATATTCACTGGCAATTGCTTTTAATTGTTAAAATCTGCCCCCATCTCACCCTAAGAATTTACCTTATGATTTTAACAAAAGAGGTCTAGGGGAAAGCAGCTGGAATAATAAAAGTGGAGATTAATCCAGAAAAAAAAAATAGAAATAAAAGCAGCAGAGAATAAATGAAAACTTTTCACTGATACTTTTAACTGAACCCTTTCAGGGTGAACGCAGCTGGGCTTTTACCTGGTCTTATTGTAATCTGACTGCACTTATTCCTAAAACAGATTTATTTGGTTTATTGCTGGCTTTCTGAAGAATGCCAGTCAGAAACGATGGCATCTCATATTCCCTGAGGGAAGTGTCCAGCTCCATCTGCAGCAGCAAAATCTGCTCAGCAATATTCCACATCTTCCACACAGTTTGTCTTTGACATTAAACCAGGCTGTAACCAGCACTGCACCAGTGCCCTGAGGACCTTGCCTTGGATTAACCAYCTGGAACCCCTTCCCTGGAGCATGGATTCCTCTGCTTGCTGGCAACCTGGAAGCCTAGAGCAGGCTGAGGTGAAATTCCCCTCCTTTTATCAGAAATCCCCAAAAGTTGCCTTCCAGGTACTGCAGGATGCCATGAGGATGAAAAACACACRAACTGGTAACTCACAGCTGGGTTAAAGGTAAATCTTCCCAGGACAGTGGCCAGCAAATGCTTCTACTGCCATATGGCTTTATTTTCCCGCCTACATCTTACCAGATTATTGTGTTTTCCAAGCCCTGGGGAAAAGGGAACTAACTGGAGGCTCTGCTGCAGGATTGCAGGAAGCCTGAAGCTGTGGAAGGAAGTGTGAGACTGAGCAGGATGTGGGATGCTGGGGATGCCTAACTGTGAAAAACTGACAGGAGACATCAGCCAGTGTACCCAGCACAGCAGTCCCAGCAGCCTGGGAGAGAAGGAAGGAGGATGAAAGGGAGACACCTGGACATGAAAGGAATTCAGTCATAATGTACCAGAAAGAAGGAACTTCATCCTTTTGCCTCTTTAATTAAAACTGAAACCTATCCATACACGAACTTGTGAGTAACACAATCCACCGATGCTGAGACTGTGGTACCACCCAAATGTACAGGTTAAAAGTCTYATCTGCCTACTTGGTAATTTTCTTACGTACTTTTTATCAAAATAAGCATCAAGTATACCCACCTGGTTATGGAAATATGGGAGATCACACCACTTCATGTGGCCACTTACTGGTCTAGCAAGAGAGTCACTAAGCAATAAGTCACTGGCAATTTGAGCTTTTAAAAACCAAACAAAACGCAATAAAAATCCAACAAAAAAAAACACAACCCAAGAAAATACCTCCCAAACCTCTGACCAAATTCTGCCTCACATTTCTGCCCTTTGGTGCATCACTGAGGTGGTCAGAGGTTATCTGTGCAGTCTGACAGGTGGTCACTAAGGATGTCAAGGCTATCAGAYCATCTCCAAGTCTCTTTTCCATCTCATTTCCAGTTGCCAGGGGAAAAAAAAAATCTCTTTTCTCATGCAAGATATTTCTCCCTCTCCAAACTAACATACTGCAGTTGGTTCATCTCAACAGCTTTAGRGAAGAGACAGTGTTAGCCATCAAACTGATGGAAGTTCAGAACTCAGAATGTGGTGTTTCTTGGGGAAAGTCAGAGAATAAAAGCAGTAAYGGAGTTGTGGTATTTGGTGAAAATCTCAAAATTGTTCCTGCAGTTTCAGAACAGGAGACTAACAACCCTTCCCTCACCTAAACTCAGTCAGTACAAGTTTGCTCACACTACCACAGGTGTGTTCTATCCTACAGAAGYGTATTTTGAACTGGTGCTCTACTTACTGGGTGATCTGTTCGGATARAGCAATTTACTGTGGATTTATAAGGTGTTGGGAATTACTACCACTCCTGACCAGAGAATGACTCCCTACAGTGCACTGAATCCGGCAACCATTTCCAGCTACRGCCTGACTAAGGAAAGAAATTCCCTGTTAAAGCAGAACTGGATCCTATCTGTAGCTGCAGAAGAGCACATGCAATATCTGCTCCAACACTTCATCAGACAAGGCATGCTTTAATGATGAACCTCTGCAGCAAAAGCTTTCCATCACTTGTAAAGATTTAATTCTATCAGCAAAACCCTCTCCAACACAAACTAGTTTCTCCAGTTCTCAGAAGTTAACAAGTGCTTTCCAGATACAAGGTATTTTTCCATAAATGTAAAAGCAAGTTTCCCAGCCATTTGAACAAGATCATTAATTAATCCTTAATGTCGCCTTAACTCGCTACCAAATCTCAGGACAAACACAGGCCTCATCCAAAAGCTCAAAAGCACTGTAAAAACCTYAAGTTACAGTCTCAAACCAACCAATTTCCTCTTTAGAAATACAGGAAGATGCAGTAGTTACAAACAGTCCATTTATTGGGTCTTAAACTACATACACAATTGAAATAATAWTTTTGGCACTACGCTATACAGTGGTTACATCCGTGTGCTGACACTCTTTAAATACTGCCCCAGGAGCACTGCTGTGCTTGGAAGTTTGGGATGAGCCACACAAAGGTCTCAGTGCTCCTGGGGCGTTTTGCATGAAATATGAAACACACACCAGTTTATGAGTTATCTCCATGTACCTCACGTTCTTTGAATGGATCACACCAGAATATGTGATGTCAGCATTGAGAAATGGCCACACGTGTTGCAGGAAAATCTGAATGAGACACAGTCATGAGATACAGGAAAAGCAAAACAAACCCTCTCAGACACAAACAGATATTCTGTTAAAGAAAATAATTTAAAAAACTAAGAATGGCATTTGATTTGATACAAAAGCCAGAACCACTACTGTATTAACATCTAAGTATGAATCTTTACAAATTAATCTCACAATGGTGTTATGTAAAAGGTTGCAAACTGTACAATGTTTTGTCAATGCAATGCCTCTACAATTTATACAGTCTTTTACAACTATGTAACACATATTAAACAGGTTGTTAAACAGCCAATTGATACCAGTCTCTGAACAAAGCTGCAGGCAAAAAAACACAGAGTCTCCACAATCTTCAAACGAGATATGCTTGCTCAATCTTTAGGAGAATACACTGTTAAAAACTGCCTTTTCACACTGTGCATACATTTCATTCCGTGAATTCAACCACCACTAACAGTCCATCATTTCCCATCTGTGGGCTCTAATTACATGGAAACACCCATAGTCTTTCCCCCTTAAAAACGTGCAGAGAATCATAAATTCTTTTTTATTCCACATGTGGTCAAGACACCGCRGAAGGCCTGGCTGGGCAGCAGAGCTGCCATCCCTGCACTGCACAGAGCTCAGCTATTTACATTTGCACAAGGGAGATTATACAAAAAGGCAATGCTGCCCTGAGGTGGACTGGATGGTACTCAAATCCCAGTAGTGAAAAATAAACTCTGAGGAAGGCAGGCTCCCGGGATTGTGTGCGGACTGGGGGAGGAGTTGCATCGGCAGAATTGGAGAGCTCCACGGAGAAAATTCYGCTTTGTGGCACTCTCTGGTTCTGCATATCCTTAATGTGGGAAAAGGGGGCAGAAGAGGGGGGTGAGGGATGTGCAGTGTAAGTCACTGTGTGCAAGGAAGMAGAAACAAGACTGATGTGTGATGCAGGCCTAGGAGAAGGGTCTTGCCATGGACTCATGATCAGGCCCTGCAGGCGCAGCCTCGGGGCTCCCCCAGCTGCTCCCTGGAGAGGTGAAATTCCTTTTGGATAGAATCAGGTCTCTATATTTGTATTTGAAAGTGGTTTTGATTAGGCATCAGGATTTCCAGCACAAAGTTCTCCATGTGATYGATTTCTTTTGAGTTTCCTTTATTTCACAGAAAAATTCCTACATCCTCATTTTCCCCAGAAGAAACCTGAAAAGAAAGAAGAAGGAGTTCAAAACACAAATACTGCCTCATGCTCTTGTTTATATAAAAASATTAATTAAAGCTTCTCTTGGAATGCTGTCACAAAACATCATAATACAATAGATACAGGAGTGTAACAAAGAGAAACCCCAGGAATGGATTCACTCTTTGGGGACATGCCTGTGTGAAGGAGCCCTGGCAGCAAAACCAGTGTGGAAGAGGAAACTGTGTGGCAGCAGCCATTCCCCATCCTGAGATATAGCTGACAGACAAGACTGGGTGATATAAAGTCCTCAGAGGCATCAGAAGTACAAAGCAGCACTTTAGGGGCACTGCCAGGAATTTAAAAGGCAGCCARCTGGCAGAAAATGGAGAAAAGGAACATCAATATTCAAGAAAACAAGTGTAGGTATCTTAGCAAAGCATAGGGATGCATAGAAAGATGGGCAATATTTAACTAAAATATTTCATCAAAATAAATCTGACCAAGGCCACTGGAGGGGCAAGGGCCAGAAATCTGTCTGCAGCATTTTCCCTGTGGTTTCTTCTTTCAGGATTCTTCCGTACTCTGGAGTAKAATTCCTAAGTGTGAAATTAATACCAAGACCCATCAGCTGACCCACCTATGCATAATAGCAGGGTGAAACCAGGAGGTCAGTGAGCACCAGGAGCTGGTCATCCGTGAACTGCTGCTTGTGCTCCTGCCAGTTGTCGTGRTGGGTCCGCCGGAAATTGGACAGCGTTTTCTTCACAGTCATCTGCCAGCACAAGTGGGATGGAGCTCTGTCAGTCAGGTTTCCCAGCTCCACCCCAAAACCAATGTTGGATACTACAAACACAACTCCTCAGTATCACTAAGGGTTGGAGCAGACCCACAGGGTAGGAGGGCTCTGGGGAATTCAGCCCAGGATTTTAATTCTCACAGGTCTGGTTTAGTCTTTTGACTGGTGTCATGACTCCAACATTCTTACAAAAAGGATTCTTGGACCTATAATTTTGAGTCAGAAAAYATTAAGAGATTCTTATAAAGTAAAAGCAAAATGCTTGTCCTCACTGCCTCTTTTCTGGGTATTTCAGACGAGTGGCTTGGGTCTGAAAACATCTGAATTCTTCATCTCACTCCTCTGGCTAAAACAGCAAAGGTCAACTAAACCCAACAGACAGGACAMAAAAAGTAAGAGTTAACAGAAACTGTTTCTTTAAAAACTTATTCCTAGGGCTGCTATGACCCATCATTTTAAAAATTCCAGACCGATGTTTTGGTTCAAATGGATATTTCCTAGAATGGCATGAACAAAAGGGACACCTTTAATGAAAAAAACCCACTTCTGCATTATAAATACAGTTCTTGAAGCTTTCAATTTAATGCTTTAAAGTTGAAAGCAAGGACAGACCTACRACAAAAGATACTAAAAAGCAGTCCATGCTTTAAAATTGTTCAGAATAATTCAGTAAAAAGCAGCAGAAATTAAGTTCCTTAATAGGTTTATATATTTTTCCAGGAAAAGAGAACCAAGAATGAGTCACAGGTATTCAGCTGCACTCTGCTGAACAGAGAACTGCTGTATTTTTACCTCAATAGGCTGGGGATCATTGAGGTGGGCACTGAGATCCATGAGAAGCTGTGGCATCCAGGTGGGCACATCATAGGGACTGGACAGGATGCAGGCRCTGAGCCCCAGGACGCCAGCGTGGCGCTTCACCAGGTCTGCAACCACAGGGCATCCATCACATCAATTAAAGAACATCAGCAGCAAATCCCCTGGCACAGCAGAGACTGCCAGCTTCTGCAGAAGTCCAGAGCGCTCTACAGACACGAACTGACAGATCTCCAAACTGGTTCTGCTTCCTTACTCAGAATCCCAGATTCATTCTCCTATTTTTAATTTTTTACACATTCTTCCATTAGAAATCAATCTGCAACTGGTAGACATTTTATAAACATTTCATATGAATTCTCTCTCCCAGGGAAACTCAGGAATGACTCATGAATCTCCATGTTCCCTGTTTTTGCATTCAGAGTGTTTTCTCAAATACCAGAACTACTGGACAATATGGAGAGCCAGACTTCTGGGTTAAATTACTGTAACTCAGATGCATTAAATGTCCAGTCAGAAGCCAAAGTTCCAAGTCAGGGTTAACTGAGGAGGTTTTGTTCTTGTTTATTTTTCCAGGTTTTTTTTTTTTTAATAAAAAACTTACACTGATAACAAACAGAAGGTAAGGTGGGCAAGCAGTGAAACTATGCTGTGACAGTAAAGGAACTTTATTTACTGAGGGAACTTGCTAACCCTCATCACCTGCATCCTTATCTCTGTGAACTGGAAAATGGCAAAACCCCTTTAATGTTAATTCTAAGAGTAAGAAATTAGTATAAYACAGGAACACATAATAAAAATATTTGCTTTTGCTGTTTATTCCTATTCACCATTATGTTGCAAATCGATTTCTATGGCAGTCTCTGTAACACAAAGCATGGATTTCTTCTTGAGCTGCTTTCATTTTTGGAAGCATTTTCTTACCCCCTGAAGGAATTGTGTCCCCCATTGAGGCCAGGTCCCTCTTCCTCTTCTTGGGGAGCCTCATCTTGCAGAGCTGCTCGAAGTGTGTCTGCATGGGCCCGTCCATGGTGAGGAAGTTGCACTGCAGGAGCCCRCTGAGCGTGGTGGCAGCCATCTCCCTCACCTGGGCACAGGAGGACAGAACACAAGATATTTATGCCACTGCTGCCCTTTTGAGCACACCCAGTTAGCCCAAGCGCACAAATTCTGCTCAACAACAGCTTTTAAAATATGATCCTGCTATCTCAAGCTACTAGTCTTTAACAGACGTCTCTTAAAAATTAATAAAGGTGCTCTGCTGTAAAACAGAGCTACTGTCACAAAATTTGCCATAAAGTGACCTGCTACTCAAGCAAATAATGTAATTTACTTCCACGGTCAATAGAGAAGCTTTAGAAAGTTTAAAAACAAATTTTGACTGAGACCAAATAATCAACCTGCTTCAAAAAATTCTTAACAGGCTTTGTATTAACATCAGTTTTAAAGTGGGCTTTATTCAAAAGGATTTTATTTTTCCCCTGAYAAAAGCAGAAGAGCTCTTCTGAGAGATGGCAGAAGGAATGTTCCAGAGACTCAGCTGATTCTGTTCTACCCACAGCACAAGAATTCTTTGAAAGACAAGGTGGATTAATGAGAAACAACAACTTTATGGTCAACAATTCAGTTCTATAATGCTCCAGCATGATACACTTCCTTGTCCCAGAACTCTGCACTACATAAATAAAACCAGAAATCCAGGCTGGAAAAATATTCTTCTCTTGGGTAACAAAAATCCCAAAGAACAAGAATAAACTTAGCTTTCATCKAATTGCCAAGCCATTCAAAATACAGATCTCCTTTTCCATTCCTTCTAAAACAGCCACAACACCTTGTTAGTGAATTCCAAGTAGAGACAACTCATCCTTGCTTTTAAAAACAAGTGACTAACCCATCAGTATTACTAATTTCTCTCATCTCCTCAAATCTCCCAGAGCCAGGAAGTTATAGAGGTGTAAAACTCTATTTAAATTGGGAGTCCCTCCAAAGCTCACTCCCACCTTCCATAATTACATTCTTACAAAAGCCTCCCAACATTTACAAACTTGCAAACCAAATCATCTCGTTGAGATGCTGCCACCAGATTTCTGGTAGGTACATTCAGTCACAGGCAACTGCAAACAGAACATTTGTCTCTGTGGAGCACAAACACCTCCCAATGCTCTGAATCCAATGCAGCAGATTATAATAATAAATCACATCCTTGAACATGATGTTCTGAGCCCCACAAAGCCATAAGTACAGCTGCAAGTGCTGCAATAATTAAACAGAGCAAGGTTCAAATAAGCTCTTGAGACTCCAGCCCATTCCATTTAAATTTCTACAAGGTGCTATTCAAACGTGATCTACTTTGCTGATAGCTAAGAAGGATGAGGTGAGAGGCTGGCAGCGTTGTTTATCAGCAGTTTGTGAGTCCCTGAAGAGCTGAGCTATTAAATGAGACATGATGGGCTAATACAAGAGGCAGACACAAAGCAGCTCGGCTGGGAAGTGAGCAAGCTCCCAGGAGAGCTGGGCTCATTTACATCACTGCTCCCTGTATTAAACCCACTTTCATTTCTAAATTAATCACCCAGCTAGAAGGAACACTTTGCTGTGAGGAGCACCTGGAACCAAAATCTTTAAAATCATTCATGAAGCAGCTGATCACTCCCCATCTCTGGCATTAAATAATTTATAAATGATCACACTCCTGATGAAATACAGAATATAAAAACTACAGCGGAATCTCCCCAATCACCTACAGGGTTTGGGCTTTTTTGGTCAGAAGGGACTGACCAAGAGCTATAAAAATGCAACAATATCAGAATAAAGCCACTCAACAGCACCAGCCAAACCCAACTGCAGAAGTTACAAGGGCCTACTTAGAGAGAAAATACTCTTATTTCAGTAAAACTGCAGTGCAATATAAAAAATGCTTATCAAGACATGAGTAGTGTGCATATTAAAACAATCATCATCATGTCTGGCCCTTCGTATCAAAATAAGCAAAAAAAAAAGTATCTTAAAATACCAGAATCAAAACCTCAGTTCTATAGAGCAAAGACAAAATCCTAGTTAAAGCTAATGATTTTCGTCTTAAAAAATCCAGTATCCAAAAGCTACACAGGAATTACTCAGCAGGATACTGCATCTTGTCAGTTATTATCAAGAAAGAACAAGATTACTTTTCTGAGAAAAGTGAAAGCTTCCATGGCAACAACATGATCYAGAGTGGTTATGCACACAGGTAGGCTTTTTGGATTTGCACCTCTGTGGTGCAGAGGGATAATTTGGTAGATTTAAAATAACTGGATAAACTGCATTCAAGTGAATAAAAGGTATTTTTCAAAATGATAGGAGATTACGAGTAAGTGTTTGGACAAACAACTCATAACAGACTCCAAGGTGATGCAGAATCTCCTTTCTTCTAGAAGGAAAAAAGTATCCAAATGTAGGATTTAATTGATGTTTGCCAGCTGTAAACACACCAGTGAAAATGATGGTGCAGGGGAGATAGATCAGGCAGGAGGTTAACAAAAGATTCTTTACTGTGCTTGAATTTGACTTATTCACATCATTTAATGCAAGCCCTCAGTTCTAGGTAGTTCTTGATTAAAATATAAAGAGTATTTTTGTCATTAATGTGATATGATTTGATGGAAAGCAGACCTATAGAGAAATATATAATGATTTTACACACTTTTCACACAGAAGGGATTGGACCTAGTTGGATGTTGAATTTTCTACCAAGACACATTTATAGTGAAATTAATAATGTCCCYATTTCATGTAACTGAAACCAAGCTCCAAGCAATGCACCATTCTATGCAAAAGAAGAAGCAATGGAACTTCTAAAAAAAAATCACAAACGGAATATTTTATAAACAACTGTTTTCCTGGAATGGAATATGAAAGAAACAAATCTTACAAAGCTGATTTTCAATTTAGGAAGRATTTCTAAGCTCGAAAAACCTCCTGTATGAATTTACATGTCAGCTTTCCCACAAAATTTGACAAAGGCAAGAAACTGCAGTGTGAAAGCAGCGCAGAGAAGGAACCACTTGCCTCAAGCTGTTCATCTTCCAGGAGTTTTATCACGAGCCACCTGATGTCATTGACTGCCTCGCTGTTGTTGAGGAAGATGAAGAGATTGTAGAACACCATGGTCTGGAGGTAGGTTAAGATGGTGTATCGGGCATGCCAAGAATTGCTTCTTGCTGTCTGCAGTGAAGAAATCAAGGTGAGAAAGCAAGAACATCAAAGACAGCAGCCCCTGATGTAAAACAAAAAATATTTTTWAAAAAAGCTTCTGGGGATGATTGCAAAGAATCTCCCTTATTCAGGTAATTTTGTTTCATACATCTTTTATCTCCAAWGCAGGCAATAATTATTTAGGTAATAATTTTCACAGGCTTCGCTTCTTAAGCATATTGATAAACAGAAATACATTGTAAAGCCATAAAAAAATCTAATTCAAGGGCAGYTCTTTAACTGCAGATTTGTTCTGAAACTGGATTTTGAATTGTTATGCTCATGAGGAAACAAAGTAATCCACTACTGAACCAAATGTGAATATATCAAAATCCTGTTCAATTTGTTATCAATTAAGTGGTTTAAATGTTAAACAAGATACACTTACCGTGTTTTAAAACACTTCAAATAAATTCTTTCAGATCTAAATCAGTATTTGATTCACTTAGAATCATAATTGTTGTACAATGTTAAATTAAAAGCAAAAGGTGCAGGAGATGACAAGAAGCTTTAAGCTGTTTAGACCACACTTACTTGTTTTAGCACCTGAAGTACCAAAGGCACTTGCTGAGGATACAGCAAACCCTGAGACATCAAGGACAAACACATCTTAGCATCTCTTTTGAGCTCATCATAGCTGTTGTCATTCTCCACGGGTGCAATCTAAATAAGAGCAGGGAGGGAACAAAACCCTGTTAGAAAATAAGTACTGGTAACAGCAAAATCCTCAAAGAAAGGGTGATCTCATGAAAGGACAGATGTCTAGGAAAATATATTCAATGTAATGCAGAAAGATTAAGTTGATTGGGAAAAACAATTGATAYAGCATTAAATATGCTCAGTAAATAATCATGTACCCTGATGAGACTTTGGTTTCCCACTGCCATTCTCTTGGTATCAAACCCAATTAATTTTGTATTTTAGATCCAGGTCCAAAASTGAGAGAAAGCTTTATCAAGTTCGCTTTCATTTCAAAGAACCTTTATTTTGTGGTCACATAGATTATTATTGGATAATTGACTGATGTTCACTTGAAGATAAGCACTTTGGGCATAAAAGGAAAGACTGGATGACACAGCTTCACAGAATACAAGAAACAGAGTAACAGGAGCTGCTTAAAAAGATTTGTGTAGTCAGGGAACAAAAGAAAATRTATCAAGGTCCCTTATAGAATCACAGAATGGTTTGTGTTTGAAGTGACCTGAAAGATGATCCAGTTCCACCCCCCTGCCATGGGCAGGGGCACCTTCTACTAGAGGTTGTTCAATGCCCCATGTGACCTGGCCTTAGAACATYAYGTACATATAAATAAAATAACTTCTSTTTACTTATACAATCCTTTTCCAATCAAATATAACTAATAAAGGAGAAATTAAATGATGTACCTTGAAAAACAAAGGTAACAGCTGGAGCTGCTCTGTGACAGCTGTAGAAAARGATCGTCCTGCACTTGCCATCAACCACTTCAGAACTGTTTGAATGAAGAGAAACAATCAGTGATGCAGATGAAAAATATTAACCCCAAACAAGTTAAGAGACCAAATTTATTTTAATATTCTGCTGGGAGATTTACACACATTAGAATGGTTCAGTTTGACCTCTTAGGTAATTTTACAAATCACAGATTTATAAACAGCAGGTCAAGTGTCACAGCACAAACACAAGAGGAGAAATTYTGTACTGCACCTACACAGTTTGTAGACCTCAATCATCACGTCCCAAAATACCCCACATTCCCTGACCTCCTTAACTCACTTGTTTTCAAGAGTTTAATGCCCTGAGTTCGCTCATCTTGYTCGCCAACTCCATTCTCTTCCATAACGTGATTCTGGATTTCCTCRTCTGCTTCCATGAGGGGTTTGAGGTTTTCAAGTATCCGGGTAGTAAATTCATGGACACGAGGAGATTTAGTTGCAGCAGTGTTTGGCAAGGAAACATCTATCATGAATATGTAGGTCAACACACTAAAAAAACAAACAAAGCCAGCAGGAACACACAGTTAGCACGACTCCTGTCCAGAGAACAGTGACCTGTGAACTCCAAATGATCCAAGATCAATCGGGTGACCTTTGAAGGTTAATACTTAGAGAGAATTCCCTCCTATTTTCACAGAGTTATTTAAAATGAAATGCTTCTTTGAAGAGCTTTAGAGATGCCATACATAAACACAGACAATAAATTGGTGAGGCCCTGGCACAGGCTGCCCAGAGAAGCTGGAGTTGCCTAATCCATGGAATTGTCCAAGGCCAGGCTGGACAGGGCTTGGAGCAACCTGGAATAGTGGAAGGTGTCCATGCCCATTGCAGGGGGTTGGACTGRATGGGCTTCAAGGTCCCCCCCAACCCAAACCATTCYATAATTCTATAAATAAAAGACAAAAATAGAGAAGTCATCTGAAATTTCTGAAGCAAGTCTGTTAATAATTAATGTGATTTTTTGCTACYAGCATCAGTGCTTTTCAGGGTAATTATTTAGCTATTCAGTTACCCAAATAMAATGAAGTTAGAACCCAACCAGAAYTGCAGCAGACAACACTGACCTTCCTATTCTCTCTCGGACGTTCTTGTAGACCTGGGTGAGTTTGGGTTCCAGGTACTTCAGCAGCCTGTGCAGCAGCTCTGGCACTCTCCACTCCTGCTGGGCAAGGCCCCCTTGCAGCACATAAAGTCGGCTGGGAATCAGAACACTCATCTTTAGTCATACAGAACATTCCTCTCTCCCCAGGCCCCCTCCAAACTTTATTTGGAAATGTGCATCAGAGTGTCCCTGAATGAACAAATATGAGCAAAAATTGCCCAGTGAAAAAACAGCACTGCTGCTCTGCCAGTCCCAAACCTTCATCCTGTTAATTGAGTTACATTAAAAAAGTAATCAGGAAGACCCTGCCGTTGTGTGGGGCAAGCTAATTGGAAAGCAGTGCCTTTGTTCCCCTCTCCTACAATACAGCTGGCACAGCATCCTCTCAACACAGCTTATGCAGGCTTTATTTCCTCCTCTCTTCAACCACAATTAAACAGTTCAAATTAATTTTACCAGGCATCTACAAATGATCCTCCTTCACCACTCAGTGGAGATTCCAACAGCAGTTCAAACAGCCAGTGCAGTTTCCTAGGATCTCTGCTCTCCTGGAAAAGAGCATGGAGCAGAGATATAAGCAAATGAGGGATTTTTAAGATGTAAATAACATATGAAATAAGACATAAACATGGAAATTTTGACAGAAACCTTCTTTGCATCCCTTGAGTTTATTCCATTACGCAAGGACAATGTTCARTATCTTTCCACAATGAACTTCAATAGAAATAAAACCCTATAAAACTATACACAGTTTTAATTGATAGATAAATTCAATCAGAACAGAAGGAATTTTAGCTAATTTTTGACATAAATGAATCACCATGCCTGAATTTTGTTGATTAGGGTTCTGGCTGACAAACTACCCTGAGTTCTGCTTAGTCTCTTGGAAGAATTACTGACCCAGGGTATTTGTGACCTATCACTGACCCTGCTTCTCAACACCACAGCTCCAAGTTCCCAGCAGGAATGTTAATCCACAGTGGATCCAGCTTTAGGAGGCAAAAATGGGATACTTACACAGGAGGTTGCAATGCAGGTGCCCCAGTCATTGTATGTTTCCACTGTGATGTTGGATAAAGCTGTTCGAAGCAATGGACACAGAAGCTTCCAGAGTTTTTCCACCTGCTCAGCAAAACCACAAGAGAGATTTTTCTATTTAAAGATCCCAACTCAGCTCAGCTATTAAAATGCCTTCTTAATTTTTGAACTGGTTCTCCCACAATTATTTTTTGGCACAGAGAGTCAGCATGGACAGTGAGGCCGACATTAAATAAATATTTAACAGTTTAAGGTGGACATAAGCACTTATTCTTATCAGGAATTACAAACCATGTCAGCTTCACCATACTTGCTGCAGCAAATTATTCCTAGTTTTAATACTGGATCATTTTCCTAACACCTGGCAAGCACAGATACCTAAGCAAGCAATGAATTGTGCTCCAAGTTTGGCAATCAAGACCTCAGTTTTGTTTAAACAGGTTAACAATTCAAAATTACTCTTTAATTTCCAAGAATGACTCAAAAACACTGCTCCAGCACCTTCTCAAAGGTCCAGTGTTTAGAACCTCTTATCAGGCCAGCTATAATTTCAGCTAGACATCTCTGGGTGCTTTCATGGGAGTCTGCAACCAGTTGCTCCAAGTGGGGCTGAAGGACTGGCAAAAAGGCATCATCAAAGTTTCTGAAAAGGCCCTGAAAAACAAGAGAAGAAAGTGTTTTAAGGAATTATATGAACCACTGTCTTCCCAAGAACCTCATAAAATTGTGAAACACTTGAGTTTGARCATGCAGAAAGTGAAATCACTTTGCTTTTTTAAAGAGCATTATACACCAGTGTCCTCCAGACTGTTCTATTACTCTAAATATGCTTCCCTAAGTAGTTAATCAGAAGAGAGGATTAATAGGATTACCMAGAGCAGCTTTAAAAATCAACATTTTGAACAGTATGAGCCCAGCAGTCTGTGGCTTTTCCATGCTCTGGGAATTGTCTACAAAATGAGAGCAATTTAGTGATTGAACTCTGCTTACCTTGAAGAGGCAAAATCTGCGAGGATTAAATTTGTCCTTTCCCTTTCTGTCTTCTAAAGACAAAAATTTTATTAACTGCTCAACAAACTTGGGATCAGAAAAGTGATCATATATAATTTGTTCTGCCTGTAACAGGAAGAAAAGAAAAGAAAAAATTAACTTTGAGGTGTTTGCTTGTCACAGTGATAGCCCAATCTGTCCATGTTTCATGGCATATCTGCATTCCCAAGGAAAGAAATCACGCCTTGGTTATCTAATTTCCCCTCTCATTTTATAGGAAATTATTGCAACTCCTAAAAATGAGTCCTTCCACTGTCATTAATGACCTTGTTCTCAACTCTGATCATGATTTTAGAGGGAACACAGAAGTGCTCATTAATACAATTATTCCATGATCCATGACAGAAAAGCAGCAATACATTGAAATAATAATTCTTTCTTGAATGCTGACACAATAAGAAGTAGAAAAATGAAATTACAAATATCTTTTGGGGATCTCCACAGTAATCTGTGGACATTATTAAAGGAAGAGGAGAAATACTATTAAAAACCCCACAAACTTGCAACTCTTACCTCTGTCAGCTCATCTCTCCTTCGCCCAAGCTTTGGYTGCTGCTCAACTGGAGCATAGACTGTCATTGTTCTGAATATTAAAAATAAAAGATAAATAATAAAAAGTTACAACAAATAATAAAATAAAGCAGCATATTTCAAAGTAAAATAAAGCTTACAATTGCTTTCTGTGTTCTCAATATTAAATAGGAYATATGCTCAACTTCAAAAGATTGAAACTCACAGAAAATTTACAAATTTACAACAACAAATGAAGTTTGTTATTCAAAGCTTTGCTATACAAGCAATCCAGAATTATTAGGGATAAAATACTCTGCATATATGTAATTTCCAACATGCAGCATTTCACTTCAACAGCAGCAGCTCAACAGCCATATGGAGATTGTGTCAACAGCCCACACAGAGAGAAATSGGTAGAAAAAAAATCATAAACAAAAAGCCCCATACCAATCAACACAAAACCCACCAGAAGTGGTAAAACAAGCAAGAAGTACAAAGGACAGAATAAATCATACTTTTTGTGGTTCAATTAAAAAAAAATTAAACGTACACATATTTTTAAAAATTTCRTAATAAAACATTGTTTAATTTCCTACAGGGTTTTCCTGCTGACCCTCCCAGCTCCACCTCAATGCTAATGCTACTCACTGGGGCCAGGTGTAATATCCCCAGTGTGTTTTCTCCACAAAACAGCAGGATTCCCAGGCTTCCTTCGTCTTTGGTAGGCTCTGGCTGTTGTAGTGCAGCCACTGGTTGTCAGGTCTGTCACCAGCCTGGATGCTGGAAGGCTTCGGGCTCCCACCTGATCCAAGAGGAAAATCAAAATTAAAATGCATAAAAATTATGAAAAGGTATAAAAATTTAAAAGTAGACATACAATACTCATATAATTACCTATATAATATATATCTATTTGCTTAGGCCATTAACAACCAGGGAGAAATGAAAAGCTTGTGATTTTGTGTATAATTTAACCAGAAGAGATTTTAAAACCATATTAGAATAAATGTAAGATAATGCTTGTATTAAATAGAACCTACTTATTTCGTAAGGGCAGATGGGCACTTTCTTGTGCGTCCTCTTAAGCTGCTTAAGAATCCCAGCTACAGCTGAGATGGCCACCTAAAGAAAAAAATGGGCATTAATGTATCCATTCCATTCCATACATTTAACACAGAAGGATGTGGCTCATTAACCCTAAAAACCCAGAGAACACTGGAGTGAACCCATATGGAAATAATTCTGGTTATTTCAGGGGATACAGGACATGACTAATTTTAAAGGTCAGAAAAACTGCACAAATAATTTTGTTTCAAATAATTTTGAGGGAGAAAGAAGGTTTGTTTTGAGCCTCACTGAGGCAACAGAACAAATGAAACACATTGATGACTCCCTTCAAATAACAAAACTGCAGGTGGGAAAAGCAGCCATCTGCAAAAGAAATTCTGCAAAAGAACTCTGAAACGAATCATAACTCAGTCCATCCCACATTTTCACAGTTTATACATTTACATATGTCACGCTACAGCACTGCCAAGACTGCCATTTCTTGGATTGGGAATTTGTACACGTGCATGACTGGAGGAGGGAGTTCCATCTCAGTTTTATGCTTTACCCCAGCAAAACCCCAGAAGCACCTGATGTAAACCCTAAAGAGCTGCAGACCCAAAGAAAATCCTTCTCCTGGGCTCACCTTCCGAACCACAATTGCATCGTGGTTGAGACACTGAACAAAGAATTTTATGGCACGAGCAGGCAGGGTCCTGTCATCCCTCAGRAGCAGGGACAGGAAGCCAATGCTTATGTGCTCGAACTTCCAGGGCCTGAAAAAAAACCCAAATATTCAAAACAAAGTGTAAATACCAAAATTTATGGACTCAGAAATTATTGCACGTATTAATAGTATGCAAATAAATGAATAAATGGCACTGCTGTAGTCAGGGAGCTTAACTCATTTTGGGAAACTTCCATAATGAAAAATACCGATAGGGATATTCTTTTAGAAGCTTTTTTAACACAAATATTATGGGAASAATTAGAATCTATTCAGATGTCAGTGTTCCACAGACCGAACCACAACGTTTTTTTATTAAAAAAATATTAAAAGCCTCAGTAGGCCAGACTAATTAAGGGAAAAGCTTAGCTCCAAGATGCAATGATGCCTTATATTACCAAATCAAGCTCCCAGTGCAAATAAATCCAAGACCATGGTAACCACTTCCTGGATATTGATCCATGTAACCACCTCCAATCCACCCCAAGAACASCCCTCTCATGCAGAAAAAGGAGGACTTACAGATTTCTCTGTTCCACACAGTCCAGCAGCATGTTGACCAAATTTTCATAGTTCCTGAGAGAAAGAGAGAGTTATCAACCAGATGGTACTGAGTAGAGATATTGAAAAACTGAGTAAAAGTTCCTCAACAAAGGTTTGTGAAGGTGAAAAGGAATAGGCAAGGAAGTGTAGAGGGAAGATGCAGCCCAATAATCCTTGGACATTCTGGATTTTTCAGTTTAGCCACTTCAGATGATGGCAATTAACGTGAAGTTCAGGGAAGCTGAACTCACCTCAGAGCCTCAGCATTCTTCTCCTTCTGTCGCTGAATTCCCAACTGAATTTCCTCAGAACTCAAACCTGTAAACTCTGAACCTGGCTCTCCCGACTTCTGCAGCAGAACAGCCACCTCCATRCATTTCTCTGGAACCTGTTGATGGACAATGCAAAGATTTGGGATTTGAACTTAAATGTTTTTAATGTCTCTGCTTTGGAATCAGCAGAGTGCAGATTTCCTTGTCCACACAGACAAGTCTGAACACCAAGGAATTGGTCACTCACTGCAAAATCCAGTCCAATGGTTTCATATTGCCGATGGATTTTCTCCGCTAAGTCATCAAAAAGTCTGACTATGGATGGTTTTTCCAAGGACATGGCTTTGCTAAGCCCAGAAGAAACAATTGCTGGCCACGTCTGTGCAATACAATCCCAGTCATGCAGATTGGCCAAGCACACCCCGCTGTGATTGCCAAGAAGACAATATAAGGCACCCTGTGGAATGGAAGATGGAGTTTAGGAAGGTTAAAGCACTGCTTGTCCATGATACTGACATAAGCACACACCCACACAGAACAAAATTTCAGCTACAGCTACCAAATCATTAAAAAGTCCTGTGAACTGTCAATTTACTTAAGATTTTGCACTGAATCCTCCTCATTTAATGAGATTGGAAGCCCTGCCAAATTATTTATCCACAGATGGGCTGCCTGATTTCTCAATTATGTTACAGGAGATGATTCACAACTGCTTCACCTTGACTACAGCTTCTCAATTTCCATTCCATTACTTAAAAACAGTGCTAAACTCACAATTTGGTAATAATGGTTCTAAACTCACATTTTGGTAATACCTGAGCACACTGGGAACATACTTAAACACARTATTTCCCTTGAAAACAGATCTAATACAAATAATTCCTTATACCAGTCATGCTTGTAAGACATGAAAATTATCAGTTATGCTGATAAACAAGAAATCTCACTTTSCCCATTTGAAATTTTTATGCAAAAACATTTTCAAAAGACAGCCACAAAACCAAATTAATGAAGCAGTACTTTAAATTGCTTCTGAGTGACATCTTGCCGGTCGGGACGCAGGAATTCCAGRACTAAGGGAATGATATCTCTGCAACAGAAATTGTAGGTTCCCAGAGCTGTGAAGAATGCTTGCTGAGCTTTACTTCTGACCTGTGGGGACAAAGACATTACTAGGAAATCTTCCAAAAGAAATGCGATACTTGATAAGAACAACATCCCCATCCCTTTCCATTACTTATGCACAGGGTTTATATGATGTATTTGTGCACAGAAACAAAATTATTTGCAGAAGGTTGCAAACACCTCATGCAGTTTACAAAAGTCTACTTTTTGTCTGGTATTTACACAAGAACAGCTACAAAGTTAAAGGAAATTCTTCATGTTGCCAGAAACGAGGTGTTTTTCAGATCACTTGAAAAGCAAACAGCCARAAGAACAGATTGAGGATATATAATCACTTGAAGAGGTCAACAAAWCACTTGATAAATCTCATTTTAAAAGGGGCTTCTCCTCACCTGCCCATAAGAACTCGTGGACAAACACAGAAGATCCCTGATCATCTCCTGGTGGGAAGTTTTGTATTCGCAGCCTTCCATTGTCAGCGTTCTCAGCTGAATTCATGGGGAGCACAAAGAAAGGACAGATTGTTTTTATATTTCACACATATAAAGAACACCAGAGCAGGAATATTGTTACGATGACATTTAGCAAACTATGCAAAGCTGCTTTTCAAGCAAATTAGTGAGGACTGAAGGGGAAGAATTACCTCATGCTGCAGCATAACCCTGTCGATCAGCAAAGCTCTGATGTGCTGTTTCTTTCCTTGAAGCTGTAAAAAAGACAGKTTGGTTTAGATTTCTGTATCTTATCAGCAATTCAGGAACCTAAGCTTCACAAAGCCAAGTCACTGACCCTGTTCTCCATTGATTTTTTCACTAGATTGAAGCTTTTCCACCGTGAATCAAACTCATGCTTGTGAGACCCTTGGAACTGCAAAACATCACTGATAATCTGTGGAAAAAGAAAGAGGACAACAGTGATTATTTTGCAAAATAAGTCATTGTGCCTTAAGCATTACAAATTAAAAGCATACCTTTATTATTAGAAATAAGGACTTGGTATCATCTTCTGAATTGTCAAGAATGTAGCCTGCAATTGGAAAAAATACAATTTATTACCGGAGAGAAAAAGAGCTTTAAAAATTAGCAATAATTTTATTTCTGCAAAGCTTAACTTTCAGAATTTTAGGTAATTTAAACAACACAAGTTCCTCATATATAAAATCATACTGAAGCATGAAACAGTCCATTTTAGCTACAGAAGTGATCAAACTTACGCAGCAATTTCCTTGTAACCCTTGCAATTGTTTCTCTGTAATTCTCCCTGGAAAAATCTGAAAGAGAATAAAACATTTTCTGTTTATTATACAACAACATAAAAAGAAATTCATCATGGAAAGCCAGTGCAGACTAYTCAGAACTGGCAATATGGACTGTTATAAAAATAACAATTTGCTATATCTAAGGAGATGGCTCTCATCAGTTTATCAATTCAGCTGCTTGGGTTTTATTGGTAAATAACCTTCTTTATCTGCYTTGACAGTTGGTTTTATTTCTAAGTTCTGGCAGCTCATTTAGCATATGGAAATTGAGGAACACACAGGGTTCCTACTCCCAGCCAGATYCTTGCAGCAGATACCTATCTTGTGTATCACTGCTGAAAATAACACTGTGTGTATACAGAACTCTGGCGTTGGCAAAAAAAAAAAAAAAAGAAAGAAAAAAAATAATGAAAATCATGGTCTCCAAAAGTACCCATTGTTTTTATAAAAAAATAAAAGAAATTAAAAAAAAAAAAGAAGAAGAAAACAACATTTAGAACCTGCCTGAGCAGAACTAGGACCTACTTACCATATTCAACACCAGTGTACAGCTTTGTCTCTTCCAAAGACACCAGACTTGGGACCCTGCATGAAAACAAACCAAGTATTACGACACTTTACAGAAATCATGAAGTATGTGCATTTCATTGGYATTTAATTCATTTTAACAAGTTAAATTTCACGCCAGTAGCACAAAGAGACTTGGATTTTTTTAAAAGTATGCCTCAGTTCTAACCCTTACAAATGAACCATCTCTTTGGGTCAGACTTTGGCAGAGGCAGGGGCACCATAAGGACACCCTGAACCTGGAATCTTGATTTCTCAGTTAACAGAACCTCACCAGTTCTATGAAGCAGGCAGAAATTTGGTCTCTATCAAACCTATGAACAAACTCATTAGAAAATGTGTCTGATGTAGGAAAGGAGAGTTTGAGTCCTTTCCTGACAAGCGAATTTTCTGTATCTTKGTACTACTATCAGTGCACCCTAAAAGTGGCTTCTAGCAGCAGTTGTGTGACAACAGCAGTAAGAAAGCACTAAAACTCAGCATTAAAACCCAGCATGAARGAACATAATTGCTATGAATGTCTAGGATATAAAATAAATGTTACTTACAGATGAGGCACCCTTTCCCCTTTGAGAGGAGGCAGAATGTTCCCAGAGCCAATCAGGCAGTTGTGCACGATGGCAAGACACTGCTGCACATCATCTCTTAAACAAAGAGGAAARCCTGGTTAATTAGCTGTTAATTGCTTGAAAATACACAAATGACAAACCACATCTTTTTTGTGGTGTTTTATGAAAGTTTTTTCTTTAGTTGTATCAATTCTAAACACAGGAGGGAGTGCTACAGAAACCAATAATTAGGTTGGCTTTTTGGAGCCAACCTAATTATTTTACAAACCCCAACATTTAACTTCATTTTCTGGAAAACGTGGGAGATTTGATATTCCAAAACTGTGCAGGTGACATAAAATAATGTGAAAATTGCTTTGAAGAATTTTATCTGAATCTCAGATAAAATCTGTGAAATAACTYCTTACCCCAAGGCCAAGACAATTCCTTCCCACCATGTGAAAGATGAGGGAATACTTTGAGTGAATATTTTAGTCTGAAGATAAATTATAATGAAAAATGTGAACAACTTCTGTGCTATTTTACGGAAATCTTGATGCTATCTCAGYGGAAATAGGAGCTTAGGAAATCTCAGAAAAACATCAAAAGGGCAGCATTACAGAGTTTTCCTCTTTACTAACTACGTGAGTGAATAAATGCACTTCTCCATCCTACCTGGACATTTCCAGCTCTCCAAGTGCATAGAGCTCCAGCCTGGTGAGCTCAGGCTGAAGGAAAGTATCCAGCAAATAAAAAGCAAAGTTTATTTCCTCAGATGAAGGAACATGCCACTGGATGTCCAGGTTCCACAGGTCACCTGGTTTACCCCAGTCCTGTAGTAAATAAAGATATTTTTTTTATTAATCAAGCCATTTCAATTGTGGTTTTAAAAAATTAACATTTAATATTCTTTTAAAAACCCCAAACACCTGTGAACTTACTACTGCTATAAAGTAGTTATCCTGATAATTKCAGGAAAAACAACACCACCATAAAATCAAACAGAAATCCCAATCCCATACCACATCTACATGTACCTAGAAAACAGCACACATCTGAAAGCACTAAAAGGAAAAAGACTGTACTGGTCTAATAACTTAATTATTCTTTTGACTGGATATGAATTCTTAAGATACATTCTTATGTATAACTCAGACTTTTGATACTCCCATAGAGAACAGCAAAGTAATTGTGATTTTTTTCTATTTCAGAAGAGAAATTTTAAATAATTGTGAGATCGTTGATTTTTTGTTAATTTTTGTTTTGCTGGATTTTTTGGTGTTGGGGCATTCAGGACRTTTTTGTTGGTTTTTAAATGATTAACTAGCCCAGCTGATGGGATGTCCCCACCAGTTATAAAACTGGACTGCTTTCAGTAACAAGATTATCTGCAGTTYGGAATTATGTAAAAACACTTTTCAGCAAAATGTGGCTGCATATTGAAACAAGCCAGCTGAAAACTTCTGCCCTTAACCTGGAATATTGATAAATTGACCTCAAGGTCTTAACAGCAGAGCAGCACATTACTTTTGACAGTTTCAGAAACTTTTAATATTGACACTTCTGCTTTCACTTCATTTCAAGCTCAGGATAGAAYCGTTATTTATTTGTTATTCTGCTGACCTCTAAAACACCACATCTCCTTTCTGTGCATTAACTTACTGTAGTCATGCAATCATGGTAAAATACACACATCACAAGCCACTAATAAATCATATAAAACTACTCAACACTATAAAACTACTCAAACAACAGTCAGTATTAATTTTTTGCTATCAATATTATTTAAATTAATTGTCATTTGCTCTACATTCTAAAGCCCAAAGCATCACTTTCTATTGCTGCTACCACCATTCAGACATCTCCGAATAAAACCATAGAGCATACGACTGCTTAAAAAAAAAACCCAAAAAAAAAACCAAACCAAAAAGTCAAATCCTCTAATCCTAAATAAATGAAAATCCTTGCCTTGATAGGAAAGTATTCAGAAAGAGGCTTGTCAAAGCCACCTGGCACACTGCAGTACTCTGTGGGGTAGATAAGTGTAGCAGAACGAAGAAGATGGTGCAGTAGGTTACAAGACAGAATGTAACCCTGCTTACAGGTTAAGTGTAGGGTGCGCTGCAGTATCTTCCCAAACTGTTCCCTGTACAGTAGCAGCTTCTTGCCATCCACTCGAGTGATCTGGGGGCACAGAGAGACATTGCAAACATCAGTTTGGCTCAAGGGGGCTGGAGAGGGTCCCACTGCTCAGCTGAGCTGGCCAAGCATCATTCTCCAGCTCCCACTGAACTTGTACAACAATGGTCACTTCCCCAGCTGCTGGAAAAGTTTCAGTGACACCATTTGCTTGACCTCATCCTGAATTTTCTAGCAATACTCCTGTATCTTCTTAATTTTAGAACAGATTTATCAGAAGCTTTTCATGTTTTTCCCTGCATTGATCCCTCTTCGCTTGCTCTGCTTCAATAATTAAATGACATGCTTTAATTTCCTCCCACGTGCAACACTGTGTGTTTATTTGCTTAAAAAAACAGCCCCTCATGTCCCATTTGGGTAAAAACCAGGAGCTCTGCAGTGCCAATCATGTAACATTTACTTTGGTTTAACAGAAGTTTATTTTCTTCTTTTTTCAGGGGCATTAAACAGGATAAAGTGACAGAACATGGGAAGAACATTTTTGGGAATACCTCTGATAAAAGCTGAAGATTCCAAAGCAGCTCCTTATCTAGTTCTTCATCATGTAATACATCATCATCTAGAGGAAYAAGGGATAAGCAATGCTGTAACCACACTGCAGCCAAGTTTTCCAAATGAGCTCCATCCAGATGCTTCCATCCCAAAATTTGACTCCCAACCCTCCAACTCACACTGCACCCATGTCCAAATGAAAGTCACTAGCCAATGAACCATCCTGAAACTGAGGAATGTCTGGAGACATTTCAAAATGGCACATTTTTAAGGAATTGTGGTCTTGCAGATTTTGGTCTTGAAATTACACAATTGTTGCTTTGGTTTCTTTAGATAAAATAACATATTTGTCCGTCACTGAAATGAACTTCTGGAAAACACCCAGCAGTTTTAGATATTGTTTTTATGTTTAAGAAAACTCAACTCAAAAGCAAGCCAGTAACACTGGAAATGTTAGAAACTTACTGCCTGTGAGGTGAGTTATGACATTGCAGCAATGTGGTACAAACAGCTTCAAGGACTCCTCAGGGCGGCACTGCAAACAGCACCACAAAATGTCCATTTTAAAATAAAATATCTTAGGGAACTCAGCACACACACAGATAAACATCTAAGACTAAATTGCATCCCAAAYAGAATTCAGTCTAGAGTCAGCCTGACTTGATGATTCTCAATCAAGGAACTCTAAATTAATAAAGGCAAGATAAATACTGCATGATTWAACCTCTTGAAATACTGCCATATGCAACCAGCCAATACTAGATAACATAATATTAAGAATCACCTGCATTTACACGAAAATATATAGATATTACACAGGAAAAAGCAGCAGCAATGGCTTTTTTCTTTTCTAAACTAAAGAGGGTATGAAGTTAAGAGMATTTTCTCTCACTTTTACTGCAGCTCGGCACATATCAGCAACCATTCGACCAGCAACTCTTGTCTCAAATATATTTGAAACAGCAAAGTTAAAAACCTTCTCCAAGGCAACCTAAAAA